ATAATGTAAGTACACAAGTCAGCAAAATATATAACACTGTTCTAGTGGTTTTTGGATATTTTAATAAAAAAATCTGACGTATTGTGCCTTTAAGAGCTGTAGTTGCACGATTCTGGATAAATTGAGACGTTTTTTTTAAATGGAAGTTGTAATTCTCTCATGATTTTGAAGAAAAAAGCTAAACAAAATCTCATTGAATTTATGCATGGAATGATTCAATGACTCACTCAAGATTTACTTGTTTCATTACTGGATGAATCACTGTTTTTGAATGAATCTCTTAAATGAATGATTCAAAGACAAATACATTTTTAACAGCCCCTTTTCGCCACCTAAAAATAAAAGATGCGCACACAGGAATTGATAGGTGGAATTGAAATGTAAATTTTACAACAAGTATCCGATTCTGGAATTGGAATTGATTTTAGATTCCCAACCCTAGTTACTGTGACTATATTATTTCAAATTGATTCTTATTTTTTATTTTATTTTTTTAAATAATAACAAAATGTTATGCTAAAATATTTTTGTATTGAATTTGGCAGATGTTTTTTCTATCCAAAATGACTTGCGTTATATTTAAAGCCTCATTTACATATCCAAAAGATTAATTCCAAATGATAATCCAAATGACACAAAGTCAAAACATGTTCATCACAGTAAAGGAAAGCTCATTTTTGTTTGAATTTTATTTTCATGCATTTTTAATAGCTTAAAAAAGATGTGGATTAAAAAAAAAAATTAGCATCACGTCTTTGACATTTATAAACTTTCTCCTCCTTCTCTTTAAGTTTGTAACATTACCCACAACAGTTTTCACAATTTCAAGCCTTATGCATCTGTTTGTGTAGCTCCTCATTAATATAGTGAGAAGATGTAATGATACTCTAGGGGTGTTGTAGGGCAGGTGTGATCTGTTAAGGAAATCTCTACTGTGTATGTACACTAAATCTCCTCTGACCTGTTCACGTAAGTGTGCGGTAGGCCTCTGCTAGGGAAACGTATCGTGGGAGGAGCTGAAGCATCAGCAGGGTCATGGCCATGGCAAGTGGACATTCAGTTGGGAGCCAAAGGCCATGTTTGTGGTGGATCCATAATTGCAAAAAATTGAGTCCTTTCTGCTGCACACTGCTTTCCTAAGTATGTATTGTAGATTATAGAGAAGGTAATGTTCTCTATCTTCTATCCTCAGCCCCTCAGAAGTGTCTTCGTATCGCCTGTACATGGGACGCCATCTGCTCAATGGCTATAACCAGTTTGAGATGGTCAGTCAGGTGCAGCGAGTGGTTGTTCCAGAAGGATACTCAACCCCTCAGGAGGGCAGAGATGTAGCCTTAGTGCAGCTGCGCTCTCCGGTCACCTGGTCAGACAGGATCCAGCCTGTGTGTCTGCCATATGCTGGATTCCAGTTCAACAGTGGAACCTTATGCTACGTCACGGGCTGGGGACACACTCAGGAGGGTGGTAAGTGCATCATAAAAGAAATAAGGGGAAACTAACCGATTTTACTGTTTAAAGTCATGCCAAAGGATGTGGATTTCTTTCTTTGGAGTGGATTTCCGTTTCATTTCTGTAGTGGTAGGAGGAGGAGAAATAGTTAAAAAGCAAGAGGAACGAGTAGAGCACATTTATTTCACTGAACTATTGATTTTTTTTTCTACTTGTATAACAGTAAGGTTCCAGATCTGGTGAAGATCTTTAGGGTTGGGACAAACTCACCAAAAATCACACTATGAAAATCAAACTAAATAAGAAATCTGCAAAAAAAAAAAAAAAACAGCAAACCTTGAACAATAATACTTCTCATCTATTACGAAAAAAAAAACTGTCTTTAAAACTGTATTTAGAAATAATTTGTACTTTTTTTTCATAAAATGTAAATATTATAAACAGTATTGTAACTGTTTTAAAGGGGTGGTTCATTGCGATTTAACTTTTTTGTTAGATAGTGTGTAATGTTGCTGTTTGAACATAAACAATATCCGCAAAGTTACGAAGCTGACAATTCAATGCAAACGGAGATATCGTCTTTTAAAATTCTGGCAGTTTAATGCCTACAAAATCAGCTGGTAGGGACTACAGCAAATTACTTCCCGGGTTCGTGACATCACAAAACCAGATAAACCCCGCCCTCGGGAAAAGGCAGCAAAGGGGGCGAGGCCATGCTGCGCTGGTTTAGAGAAGAGGAAGAGAAAACTAGAGGTGCATAAAATCTATTCATATATAAATCGAGATTCTGTCTTCTAACGATTCTAATGGATTCACAAGTTTCTAAATCAGTGTTCTAAAGCAGCGGTTCTTAATCTCTCTCTCTCTCTCTTGCTCATTCAGCTCAGCTCCAACAATGAACTGTTACAGTTATACACTTATTTTCACATAGCTATGAGAAGCGTTAAACATGGACGCGCGTGCAGTTGCCGTACTGTCACAACACACTGGGCTAGCTAACCAATCAGAGCCCATCGCCTATTTCTGAGGGCGGGGCTTCATAAAAACAGGAAAAGATCAGCCCGTTTCTCAGAGAAGGAACAGAGCGGTGTGGAATAAAGGTAAATTATGTGAAAAAGAATGTTTTTTTTTTTAAACGAAGCATTAACACATGTTAGACTGCACTCCATAAACACAATCAATCCTAGAAAAAACCCAGTGAACCACCCCTTTAAAACATTTCTGTGTCTCTTCCTGAAGCTCAAACAGTAGAGCATGTTGTTGGCAACACCAAAATCATGGGTTCAGTTTCCAGCTAACTGAACACACATTAACTGATAAAAATGTATCGTGCAAGTTTCTTCAGCTGCATTATGTATAAATGTAAATATCCTCAGAAGGTAGTTGAGATGCTGACATTACGAAATACATAAAAACATTTCTATTTACAGTCTATACAGCTGCCTTCAAGGATGAAATAGGCAGGTCAAATTGACCCTCAAACATCCTAATCGTAATAGAAATTTTGTATGAACAGTATATTCGACAACACGTCAGAGTGTCGACATCTTGCAAGCATGTTCAGGACTCTGAATGAGAAAAAGACACAATTTCAAGAAAAACATATGCTATCCAGTATTTCTAACATCTCTGAAATCAATCCAGAGCATAATATAAGATCCAGAAGATTTATTTATTGTCCTCCAGAGAGGAAAAAAAGTTTCCTGATGCCTTGCATTTATGCAAATAACCCATTGCTGCTGCATGGAAAAGATAAAAATGATTTGACATGGAAATGATAGATTTACATTACATTACATGTACATTTAGTCATTTAGCAGACGCTTTTATCCAAAGCGACTTACAAATAAGGACAATGGAAGCAATCAAAATCAACAAAAGAGCAATATGATATACAAGTGCTATAACAAGTCTCAGTTAGCTTAACGCAGTACACATAGACAAATTGTGATAAAGATAAATTTATTGATAGATAAAAGATAAGACTGCTTTCTGTCAGTAGCAAATACATATATGATATAGCGATCATTCAACAAAAGAAAAAACAATGTCCAGACAAAGCCTTATAGCTTATCACAGATCTATTCCCTATTTTATGTTATGTTAGTTTAACAATGTTTTGGACATTTGGTAATTATTTGTATTTCGCGTTTGCTCTGTTTTTTCTTTAAATAGTTTCCCTCGGGGGAGTCGGAGCGCTACGGGAAGTGCAGGCGCCCATTATCAACCAGTCCTCCTGCCAGTCAATGTATCAGATTTTGTCATCTGATTTAATAACAGTCAACATCTTATCAGACACGATCTGTGCTGGATACATGGAGGGAGGCAAGGATTCCTGTCAGGTATGTGATACTAGCACACAGCCATTGTACTGACTTATCCTACCATGTAGAAAACATTTTTGTCCCTTACAGGGGGACTCTGGAGGCCCTCTGGTTTGTTCTGGTGGCAGTGGGACTTGGATTCAAGTGGGAGTTGTAAGTTTTGGACTTGGGTGTGCTCAGAAGAACCGGCCAGGTATTTATTCCAGAGTATCAAGCTTCGTGAGCCTCATCCGCACCACAGTTCCAGAAACTCACTTTTTCGGTCGCGCTCAGAAGAGTGAAAGTCAAACGCTTCTGGTTCTAGGCCTCTCTTTTGCATTAGTACTTTTGTGGAGATAGTATATTAGTTAAGTATATGCAGTGTACATGTGAAACACAAAGTCAAGTTTTGAAACACCACAAGTTTTGTTTGTGTGGCATTGATTTGCCATGTTTGGAATGCTTTTGTGGGGCACAAAATGTACCCAGTGCAAAGCTTCAGAGGTATTGCAAATTATTATTATTTTTAAATAATAATGTAATATGTGACATGTTTATGATGGAGAGATCTGGCTATCTGATCCTTCCTAAGCACAGATCTATATACTGTTGTTACTGTGAATTAGATTTCTTTTATGCAGTTATGCAGTAATGTCACCAAGACCTCAGAACACTGTAAAATGCCAATATTCTATTTAACAGGATAAATACAATATCATTTTGTATTTCTTGTATTGATTATTTGTAATGAAAAATCAAATTGGTTTGATTGCATAAGTCAAAATATTGCACATTACAGCCTTGTGTGTTCCACTGCTTTCACTCGTGCATTCAGTAACAGTATTGTAACTTCTTAAATAATTCTAGGATTTATATTAAATTAGAATGCCACCTGTGTTTTCCCTTTTGCTGTGTTTTTATTTATTGATGTTTATTATTTTTAGGATGCACAGTTATAGCCATTGCAAAGTGCTTTGAGCCTTTTTTTTTTAAATGCATCATATATTTTTTGGGACTCACACATACCTAAAGATTTAACCCTCTAAGGTACAGAGTTGCCATATGGCAACAATTAATTTCTACTTATTTCCTTGTTATTCTGAAAAAAAAAAAAAAAAAA